GAGGAAAATGAATGGGGCTGTCTTCAGAAAGCAGCTGCAAATTCCTGGGGGATGCCCAGCCCGACCCTGCGCGGGGTCACTGCCCATCAGCACCACGCGCTGAGGCCTGGCTTCCCCCACGTGCTGCCGCAAAGCCAATGAAGGGCCGCCGGGCAATGAGCCCCCCTTGTCCCACAGCATCCCTGGGACACAGGTGCACCCCCCTCCTCTCGTCCTGGCTGTGGAGGATATGCTGGAACAGGTGGGGCCCCTTTGCTGCACCCCTCATCTATTTTTTTGTTTTGTTTTTAAACATCACACCTACCCAGGCCAGGCTTGTGCTGTGCTGGCTGCACTGATGTTCCAGGCACACAGCTGAACGCTGGGAGCTGTGCAGCTTTCTCCACCTCTGCCCGCCCCCTGCACTTCAGCTGTCCCGTGAGCTCTACCAGGGGCTCTCAACCTTCCAAGCCTTTTGCTGCTGCAGGACCAGCCCACAGCGCCGTGTTAGTGTCCCTGGTGGATTTATCTGGCTCCACCAGAGCCCACTGCAGCCACACCTTTCCATATAGCACCTCCACCCAGGAGAGGGGCTGCAGCAGGGCTTCTGGCATGATGGCAAATTTGCCACCTGCAAGTGGGCAGAGAAAATTCCTTTCTCTTTCTTGCAGCTCTCAGCCATTGGAAGGCTTAGAGCTTGGCTTGGAAAACCAGGAATACTCCTGCCCCATCCATTCACACTCTCCCAAGCTCCGTCACTGTCAGGCTGAAGAGCTGCCTTGGGGCCATGTGGGGCTGATCTTGTGCAGCACACCAGGCCAGTAGTGATCAGCAGAGGATCATGGAGCACCAGGTCAGCTCTAACTGGACTCAAAAGTGCCCGAGTAATGCCTGAAGTGCTGCTCCTTTTGGTGCTTTAAAAAACCTTCCCCTCTCTGCAAATCCCTCCTCCCTCACCCCTCAGCTATACAATAGCTATTTTATCTGGGCTGGAGGAATCCAGTGCTAGTTTCAACCAGCCCTCTGGGCCAGCGAGAGCAGAGACAGACTCGGCCTGGTTGTGCCACAGATGGGAGAAGGAGGTATCGGTCCCAAGGCTACGCTGTGGCTGCCAGCATGGCAGTGATGCTTATCTGTTTGCTGACTGTCAGCAAAGGCAAGGAGGCCCTGGGGGACCGGGCATGCACAGCCTGGGGCACTGGGAGGGTGTTTCCTTCAAAGGAGAAGGAGAGAAAGGAGTGAAATAGCCTAAAAGTTTGCCAGATGATGTTGCCTATACCTCTCAAAACCTAGCAAGACAATATTTCAAAAAACTAATGACTCCAGGTCCTCTTCCAAAATAAACCTAAACCTTGAAAATATTTCCAAGCCCCCTTGCCGTTGCTTTCGTTCATGTTCTAGTTTCACTCTCCCCCTGGCCCCCCAAAATAATTTTTGAATGGGGCTAAGACTTTCAGAGGGTTTTCTTTCAGCCCAGCAGGTGATTTAGAAAAGATTTATCAACTGCAATGCTGACCTACCAGGGGCTTCCTCTCCAACCCCAGGGACCATGGTCCCCACTGAACCAGCTCGGAGCAAGGCGCTGTAAAGGAGGTCTGGAGCAGGAGTGACAGCCTGTGCCACATCTGCTACCATAGCCTTCAAACTCGGTCCCGCCACAAATCTGTGCCCTCTGTCACTTCAGACCATTGCAAAGCCAACGTTGCAAGCAGCCTCAAACACGAAACTCGTTATGTGAACGCCTCCAGAAGGTTTCCCTCCCACACCTTCAGCCCCATGTCCTTCCTGGGCTGCCCTCTCTCTCTCCACTCACTGACTGCCACGTCTTCCCCACATAGAGGGGCTGTATTGCCCAAGGCTGCCCAGATGCATGGGACACGGCCTCTGCCACCCCCAGCTCCCCTCGAGGGAAAAAGACTCGCAGCGTAGCACAGGGGTGCTCCATGATGGATTAGTTGCTTGTTCCTCCAACCTCTGGCTCCAGTTTTGTGCACCCCACTGAATGCTGGTCCTGCCTTCCCCTCAGTGGCAGTGCCTTTACCACGGCCAGGACTGCAGCAATGGGCAAGCCTCCCCCTTTTGCACCCCCATCTGCAGTTGCAATCTGGTAGCTGAAGGTGATTTGGCTCCTGGAGAGTGCTGACAGACTACTCAGTTGTGGCTTTGATTTGTCCTGAGGGACACGGTGGGATCTTCTGGTGCTCTAGAACCTATCTCCCACTCGCCACTGAAGCTAGACCAAAGCAGACAGACAGGTCCAACAGCCATGCTTTGTCCCAGGAGACAGAGCTGGTGGTGGTGGGTCGGGGTGAAGGGAAAAAAATAAAAGGTGATCAGCCTAAGAAGGAACCGATTGGGCTGAGGAGCTGTGCACACCCTGCTCTCCTAAATGCAAACCATGCCTTTGGTAATCCCATCCACCTCTCCCCTCCTCTCCTTCCCTCTATCAGGCCACCAGCGCACACAGCTCTCTTTCTGCTCTGGAATGTGTTCTCCGAAACTTAATCTCAGCATGGGGCTCAGGCCAAATCCCCCGACAGATTCGGCCCCGTGACAACCCCCTCCCACCCCGCTTCAGAGCTCGGCAACTCTCCCCTCGCTTTCCCTCACCTTCTCCTCCCACCCAGCCTGGCCTAAACATTTCATTCCTGATTAATGTATCAGTGACAAGCCAATAGCTCTTGGCTTTAAAGCAAAGCCAGCCCCCACTTTGCACAAACATCTTCACTTCTTCATTTTCTTAAGGCTTAGCCCCAAACTCCCCCTGGCTGGGAAGATGAAGCCCTTTCCACGCCTGGGGGCTGACACTGGCAGGGGTGGCGGGCTCCCCTGCACGCACAT